TTATCTATTGAGTTGGTTGTAGTTATATGTAAATGCATATGGAAAGCAGAGAATCGAACCTAATTTTATGAAGAAACACACATCTAAAAAAAATATACGTTACAAACAATAATAAATAAAGGAAAGGAACTCGCTATGTCTTTTCTCTCTGCTTTAGTTTTGGCCACGAGATTTTTTTAACCCGCAAGTGGTTGGGGTTTTAAGGGGTTTTAAGGTTTGGGTTTCTTTTCCTCTTTCCCTCATGGCTGTAGCTATGTGGCTAGAGGGGGTGTTGAGGAAACTATGGTTTTCACTCCTTTGTTGGGTGAGAAAGTGGAGGAGGTGGTGATGGCGGCCCGGATGACGACGGTTGGAGGGCGGTGGTTGTCAAGCGAAGAAGGACGCTCGATTGGAGAAGGTTGGGCTGATGTGCGCAAGAGGACAAGGAAGGAGACCTGTTCTTCTCTTGGGCTGGCTACGGTTGTCTTCGAGAATAGTGAAATGGACGGGGCTGGCGGCAGGAGAGAAAGGTGGGCAAAGGACTAGAAGGAAAGCTACCATGGGTAGCCATGGCGATGTCGGACGTGTAGACCGCTGCTGAAAAGACCAAAAAACTAAATATTAAAATAATAAATTATTAATCTAAATAAATATTAAATATATTTTAAAGATATTAAAAGGTTAAAAAATTAATAATTTAATTACATGTTTGTACTCAATACTCACAAGCTAAGATTTAGTTTTATTGTATCGAATTTTAACTGTAATCGTAAATTTTTTAATGATTTAACATTTTAAAAATATATGAAATATATTTAATATTTATTTTAATTAACATTTTATATATTTTTAAAATAATTAAAAAATTAAAAGATAAAGCACTAAAATGTATTCTTCAAAGTTCAAACAAAGTCAAAACCTTAGTTTCCTTTAGGAAGTTAGGGCAAAGTAATAGTCAAGTGTGGACTTTCTTGAATCATTAATTTTAGGTGTAGTGCCTATAAAAATTATGTCCATTGGGCATACGATAGAGTCGATCGGATTTCTGGAATTTTCCCAAACTACTTAGTGTGGTTTTAAACCAACTATAAAGTATAAAATCTTAGCAAGTAGTAAGTGGAATTGATGTACCAAAAAAAAAAAAACTAAGTGAAATTGATAATGGTTATATCATGCTCTATTTTTTTATTATTAGTTTTGTATTTTATTACTTGTTATATTAATAATTTTGTCTCATAAAAAAAAAGAAAAAAATGTGATTATTCATGAAACATAAAGATGTGAGAAAACTCAAGGATATTATGTATTTTTCCAATTAGTAAATGTTTCATCTCCATCTTCATCTTCTATTTTTCATTTATAACTTATTTTCACTTACTCAATTCAATGTTCTATTTAACGCTATTCGTGGCTCTACTTAAGTATTATTTATAGTTCACCGTCCTCATATTTGATGATGATAGAAAAATATAATGGTGTTGGCAATGAAAATTTAGAACAAAGAGTTTGCCTTTTTCGTGTACTAATTTTTAAGGATTAAATGTCAATTTTAGTCCCTCAACTTTAAGGTTTTACATAATTTTGGCTATTTAACTTTTTTTTATATTTTTTAGTCTCTCAATTATGAAAATATATTTTTTTAGTTTTTTCATCAATTATTCTGTTAATATTATTTATATGTGCACATTTTGAATTCTTCAATTTTAGGATTTTACAAAATTTTCATCATTCAACTTAAAAGTTTAGGGATTAAAAGTCTATATATATATATATATATATATATACACTTAAAAGACTAATTGATAGAAGGATTAAAAATGTGCATTTTTCATATTTAAGTGATCAAAAGGTGCACAAAAAAGTTGAGAAACTAAAACTATGTAAAAATCTAAAGTTGACAGACCAAAATTGACATTTAATCAACTCTTAAGTATCTTTTCCTAAATAGGTATTTTCCTCTCTACATCGCCTGTGCATTTCAAGCTACAAATAAAGTCCTCATCCATCAACCATGCATTCGAACCAAGGTTGGGCAATTAGGGAAGAATTCAAGTTTATGTTTTAGTGGATCGGTAAATATGTAAAAGTGGATTTTTATTGTAAAGATACAAACTCACCTTGAATCAAGATTTTTTATAGTGTTAAGTATTAATTCAATTAAGTTCTTTTTTATCACCATAGCTAAGTTATTATTAGCCCCATTGCTTCATATTAGATTCTTCACTAAGGTTAACTAGATGTTGATGCCCATGACAGCAACATTGTCAAAACAAACACCATTAAAATGGACAGTGTATTAAGATTCATATACTTTAGATTTCTTTCTTGAAGGATTGACATTCTGAGCTGCCTTGTAATTGATTCCATTCATGTGAGAACCATATATGGCGTCATGTACCCATGAAATAGAAATAGATAAATAAATCAATAATGAATATACTTGAAGAAGATGTGTCTCCTTTACTTATTCTCCTCGCTCAAGCCTATGCAATTCCTCGTCCAAGCCCCCATTGCATATCCCTCCTTGCTTCTTCAACTTAAGGGCATGTTTGATATATGCTTTCTAGAAATTGGTATCCTAATAGTGGCTACCTAGTTGCCTTTAAAAACTACTGTTAGGAGTTTAGTCAATTAAATTCTCACTTTTTTAAAATAATTCAATTTTTAAAAGTTTCAATTCAGAAAGTATTTTCTCAATAAAAGAAGGGCCTTTTTGTCTACTAAACTTCATTAAGATATTTCTAGGGATAGTCGAGTAGTAACTTTCTAACAGAGACAGGCGGGTAGCAACTTTCTAGGCAACAGTTTCTCACAAAAATTTGCATACCAAACACAACCTAAAGTATTGACTTTCCCCGTATCAAATTACTACAAGCAAACCATTTAATGGTTCATATTTTTTGTCCAGTTGAATCCAGTTCAAATTCTGTGCATCTCATATAAAGATATCACATGCCATGTCCTGCTAAGCCCAGACAAAATCCAATTGCAAAGCAATGTTAGAGGTGTCAAACCACATAGCTTCAGGTCCATACTTTATTGCAAAAATATCCATTGTATCAATCCAGCAAAAAGTTTTGGAATCAATAATAATTACAACAATAATGTTTTGCAGGGCCTGGATCAGCCAATGACACACAAACCTGTATAGCAAGCACTGAAATCTCTAGCTTTCTTTTCCTCTAGACAAGGAAAGAAAAAACTTGAAATTACGTACAATATCACTGCCTATATAATAGTATAAATCCTTGTAATACACAAAATAGATTTGGTTTCTACTTGATGTGTTGTTTGGAAGATGAAAGAAGCAAAATGATATTCATCATTCATCAGCAAGGAGAACTCCAGATCTCTGCATTTTTAACCTTGGAGACACTTTCCAGCACTTCAAAAGGGAGTATATCTCCAATGACAACCACCCTCTTGCTTTCCAGGTCTACCTTGTATGAAGTCACTCCTGTTTCAATTTTTACAGAAACAGAAGATTTTTGTGAACAAAATTAGTACTGAAAATGTGATAAATAGAGAATGTGTAAAGAAATATGAAGATAGAAAATATACCTTCAATCTTTGAGATGTGTTTCTCGACTTTTCTTGCACATCCATTACAGTGCATAGACACCCTTAATACTACAATCTACATGGATCATCATCAACAAGAAGTCACTTAAAACTGAGTCTTTCCCCTTTTTTTATTAGAATAGAGAGAAACAGCAATGTATAATGAGTGAAGAGATCAAAGGACATACCTTTGGCTTCAATTGAAAGGCCAAGGTCTGTTTACCCGAAACAACATCCCTCAATTGCAGCAACTGAGATTTGTCACTTCCCACCAATGGCTTTCTCTCAAACTCATCTTCATTTTCCAAGGTGTTCATGCAGAAACAGGAGCATGAATTTCCTCTAGCACGAGAAAGACAAAGACAATCCAGCATCTTCCCAAAACTGAGTTTCCCCATTGCAAACTCCCCAAATCTCAGTATTCACTCAGTTCTCCCACTCTCAATAAAGTACTAGAAACTCCAACATGCCCTTAAGTTTTTGAAATTTGAAGCAAATTATACTACCATGTAGTCTGTTGTCCCCTGCTCTATAATATAATATAATATAGATGAGAGAGAAAAAGGGCTTAGGGTCAACTTTTCTTCGGAAAATCAAAAGAAGAGAATTCAGTCAAACTTATGAGTTATGAAGAAGAGAGCTTAGAAAGGCACCACCGCGGCTCTTCATGGCCTGGTGGCTGGAAATCGAGAAGTAAAGTTCTTCTCCTTCTAGTTGGCCCGTGTTCGAATCTTGGTACTTGCAAGTCTTACACCACTCTCCGGCAGGAGCTTAGAAAGGCACCACCGGATCTGAATAAATAGAAGTGCTAAACGTAGTAAAAAATATTGGTTTTCAAAAGGGACTCATCAGCTTAAAAAAGGGGTATATTCCCAACTGTAATAAGAAGTTGCTGATTTTGTCATGTGATAAACTGCAAAAGATGGTATATTTACGTTTTGAAAGGGAAAGAAAACTTCATGTGGGATTACAGCAGTTAGTTATGGAGACATTTCATGTGACTATTTTTGTTTTTGGAAGGAACTTAAAGAACAATAAATGCAAGTGAAGTGAAGGCAGACAATTCATATGAAAGAGTGAGAGAAAAGCAATAAAACAGGGCTCAGTGTGACTATAGTGGAGGACTATGTGACATGTGATGATGGCAAAAGAAAGAAAATTTAAGAATATTTATAGTTGAGTGGATAAGCATGTTGATGCATCTAACACATTTCATTGATGATGAACAATGGATGGCCATAAGCATGCGTCTTAAGAGATCATGTCAAGTTTTTAATAATAAATAAATATAGTAACAACATTTAATTGATGAAAAGTTTACCAAGTTTCCAAACCAACTTAATTAATTAACAATATTGAAATTATTAATGGGTGTTTTTGGAATTGTATTTTGAAAAAAGTGCTGTGTAGTTTAAATTATTTCGAATTATATATAATTTTAACCATTAAATGCTAAGTAGGGATGGGCCAAAAAATCTACCAAAAAAAATTCAAAAACTAATAACACAGTAATTGATGAGTAGGGTTTGATTTGATTTTGGGTTTTTTTTTTTTTTAAAAAAATGGCAAAAAAAGGGCCCCAAAACCCCAATAAGAGAGAAGGAATACACCTCAAGCTAGTAGAATACCAGTTAACCTGAAAGGTCAAGTGAAATTTTGGGTTTATTTTATTAAAAACCCAACTGAACCAATTATAAACGATTTAGGTTTTGATTACTAAATTTAAAAACTAAAAAACCATTGATAAGGGTAAGTACAACAAAAAAATCCAGATAAAAAAATTTATATATTTTAATGGTTTTTAGATTTTTTTTAAGGATTTTCTAGTCCCTTTTTACCAAATTACTTATTTATTTAAATCATTTTTAATTTTTTAGTGATTGAAATTAATACAATAATAAATAAGAAATTCAAAAAATACTAAAAAAAATAAAAATAATTTTTTGATTAAAACTAAAATCAATCCGAATGATTGCTCTCAAAAGTATAACTAAAACTAATAAAATCGTATTTTTTAATTTGATTAATGATTACTAAAATTATTAATGATTTATTGAACTGAGTGAAAAAAGTTTGATTACTTTTAAATAAGATCTCGAATTTAAATATTGTGAATAGAAAAATAGGTGTCAATAGAGTTTTTCCTCTTCTGGGATCCGACATTCGATTTCAAATTAATTGAAATCCAATGTTGATATTGAAAGATTAATACAATAAAAAAAATTACTAAAATTTAAAATTTAAAATTTTGATTAACTAATAATTTGATTTCAATTACAACCGAAGTCAAACTGTGCCCATCTTTAGTGATGGGTCTCTTGATATTAGAGGCTCCTTTTCTCATCTAATCATTCTTATTTTACTATTTAATATGTAAAATTAAAAGTTTATTATATTTATTCTTTGAATGGCCTAGGGTGGCGTTCTACGAACATTCTAAAAAGACAATCTTGAAGATTTTCAGAATGCAAAAAAAATCAAAAGTATTATGTGACTACAGGGGAAGAGTACCATAGAAGCAAAACGTTACTTAAAAATTGCTCAATCTAACATTTAAAAATGAAAATGATTATATTAAGGTTAAAAAAAATGCAGAAATATTTTATATTATCATATACAACTTTTGGATAAAAAAAAAAAAGGCCCCCGATATTCGGGCTCCTCACCACCCAAGGTTTCATTTTTATAGTAGATTGGTTGAATGAGTTATTGCCAAATCACATTTTGGGGTGGCTTTTGGATAGAACAAATAATTCATGACATTGAAGAAAGCTTGGAGTTGTTGACAACCTTGTCTTTGTCTTCAATACAATTATACCACAACGTGACCGACGGTATTTCATTATTGGCGTCCCATCACACCACACAAAGTGTGGAATTATTGGATGATTGAATACAGAAACATATAATTTTTATTTTCTTCTGCTATAAAATAATGATTCTATTCACAACAGGTTGGTCCATGTGATGATGGTTTGCTTTTATTGGGAAGAAAGGGACCAATTTCGAAAAGAAGTTACAATTAAGTCATGTTAGGCGCGTGTGGGTCATGTGACTTGGGGATGATAAAAATAAAGCAGAGCTGGGTTTGCCATTTTTTCATGTGGGGGGCATTCAAAGTGACAACCAGATAATGAGACGGATTAGCTGTTCGGTTTTGGACGGCCAAAGAGGGAGCAGAATGAAATTTATATTCGGGCTGATCTCTAATCACAGACTCTAGTGCAGCACAGTGATAGTGCGCAAGACACTATAATGGTCTCTTGACTCGGCAATCGGCCATTTAGTTCATTGTAACTTTGGGGTGCCTTTTGTCATACTTGAGCATGAGTTATACTTTTTGAGATCAAACATTTTTCTAGAAGTTTTAAATGCTTAGTTAAATAAAAGTTGAGTCATAGCATGTCTAGTGTAGCTTAGTGGAATGGACATCTCAACTCTGCCTGCGAGAAGAAGCCGTGTGGCTCAAGTGGTCGTTTAATTATTGGTTTAAGGGTATCTTATTTTGGGTATGAGATTTAATTTTCATTCCTTTCTGCATTCTCTCGTTATGGTTGTGGTCGTTGTTGTCCAAAAGGGTAACTGGTGGATTGCACCCTTGTCCAAATTTAATA